CGACAACCGGAAACGGTTATCAAACGGTACTACAAAAATGCCAAAATGAGGCCAGTTGACATTTAAGATGACGTTACGCATTTTCGATTCCCGTGTTTGATATAAATCAATGCAGTGCTTTATTTATTTATTTATTTAAACTTTAATGTACAATACACTGAAGTACAAATGGCGGACTTAATGCCATAAGGCATTCTCTACCAGTCAACCATTGGGCCAAACAGAAAAAAAAAATACAATAGGTTGGTGCTACACTTAAACAAGAAGAACAATATACTAGAAAACTAATCGATAATTTGTATGGTATAAAATTAAATAAATAACATACTATAAACATACTTATTATACATACATAATAAACTTACATATATATATTATAATAATAAATAATATGATATATGTACCCAAAGCAACATTATACAGTGTCTTAATTTTGACAATTGTCAAACAGATGCTTGCGCAACATGCGCTTGAAAGATAATTTGGTATGAGCTTGTCTTACATGGAGCGGGAGCTCGTTCCAAAGACGAATTGCATGAAAGGTAAAAGAATTAAACAAAAAATCAGTGCGATGAGAAGGAATAGAAAGCCTAAGGCTACAAGAAGATCGAAATTCGCAACCCGGCCGAGCGTTTTGAAATTAACATTTAAGATAATCAGGTGCAGCCGGATCGAACAAGATGGAGAAAAGTGTGGTTAAAATTCTTAAGGACCTGCCTTCACGGATGGGAAGCCAATTTAGTTGACGACGAAAAGCAGAGATGTGATCTTACTTCCGCAGACCAAAAATAAACCTAATGCAGTTGTTAAAAAGACGATCTAATCTATTCAAAAAGACTTGAGAGATGTTACTGTAATACACGTCACCATAATCAATCACAGGCAACACTAGAGCTTGAACAAGGAGAGTTTTGGTTTTAATTGGAAGAAAGTTCTTAAACCTGTATAGAGCTCTAAACGTCAGACACCTGGGAATCCTACGTAAGGCCTGTGTCAATAATAAGCCCCAGGTTCTTTACCTGATTTGACAGAGGAATCACTACGTTCTCAAACATTATTGGTGGCATGCACGACAGATCACAAGACGAAAAAAGGCGTGAGCTTCCAAGGATGATGGCTTGACACTTGGAAGGGTTGACATTGATACCAAACCTTTGGGACCAAACCGAGACGCGATGAAGGTCATCATTAATTAATACAATTGCATCACTTATGCCACCGACATTAACCTCGGTATAAAGCTGCAAGTCGTCGGCATACAGGTGGTAAGAACATTTGATGCTGGACGTAATCAGATTTATGAAAATAGAAAACAAGAGAGGAGAGAGAATTCCGCCTTTTTTTTTTGACGGGGTGGAAATCTTTATGGATACCCCTGAGCCCAGGGAGACTCAGGGGTTATGTGGGGTCTCTCCCTCCAGACTGGAGGGCCTACCCCTCTAAAACCCCTCCGGGTTTCCCTCTCGCGAGTCGGTTGTCCTCCGACCCGCCCCCCAGACGAGTGAGGCCGCGCGATGTAGGCTCCGGACTCCCTGTCCAGAGCCCGCTGGTCTCACTAGGGGATCAGGCGAGCAGCGAACTGCCTTCGCCTTCTCCCCGTACGTCTGCGCCGGAGCGGGTGCGCGTCCGCCGCCTCCTCGCGCACCCGCTCCGCGGCCTCCTTTTGCGACATAACCTCTGCGCAAAAGGAGGCCATCGCCACCCAGGACTCCTCGCTATCGAGCATGGCGGCAACCACGCTCGGCAGTGAGAGGTCCTGCCCTACAGTCCCCGTCAGAGTGCGGCGCTGCTCATCCCACCGGCTACACACCTCTACCCCGGAAGTGAGGTACCCCGGAAGTGAGTTTACACCATTCTGAGAACGAGCGATCAATACGAATCGCTTGTTGGCGATCGCGGAGATAAGAAGAGAACCATTGAGCTGCCGTTGAAGAGATGTTTAGGTGGTCTAAGGTAGCAAGGAGAAGGTCATGATCCACGACGTTGAATGCATTGGAGAAGTCAATTAGAACCAGCACAGTAAGTAGAGTACAGTCCATGCCCCTCCTTACATCCTCAACAATCTTTAGCAATGCAGTAGAAGTACTATGACCTGGTCGAAAACCTGATTGAAATGGAGAAAGGATATTGTTTGAGTAAACATAGACAGACAATTGTTTGTGAACGATAGCCTCTAAGACTTTAGAAAGAAAAGGAAGAATTGAGATGGGACGGTAATGCTTGAGGAGACTGGGGTTAGTAACTTTTGGAAGAGGGATTACATGAGCATTTCGCCACAGAGAAGGAAAAGCCCCAGTCGTCATCGAGAAATTAACTACGTGCGTGATAATAGGGAGTATACATTCTAAAATACATATAACCATAATTCTACTTACGTCATCGTGCCCAACAGCATTAGATTTAATTGACCTCATCTTCAGTTACTGAGGTGAAAATAAAAACAGAATTTGAAATTCTGGGCAGTGCTCTAATAAATGCAATACTTTGTTGTTTGGTGTTGGTGTCTAAAGTTGCAGTTTTGGCAAAGTGAGTATTCAGCTCATTTAAGGAGAAGGAAGAAGTTATATTGTACGAACTTTGCGGTTTACCTATACCAAAGGATTTTTGGAATTTCCAGGTGTTAACGGGGGAAGAATGTAAAATATTTCCATAAATATGTTTACGTTTGGCTGCTCCTACCATTTGATTACACCTATTTCTTGCAGCTTTAAAACAGAGCCCATTTTCCTCACATCGGTCGCGCTTGTATTTCCTAAACGCACGATCTCGTCTTGTCATTGCAATACGGCATTGTCATTGCTTTCTCTATTGGCTTACGACAGCACGCTGTAGTTAAACAAAGACAATAAAATGTTTATGTTTTCAACGTCTAAATGCATCATATACATATAACTTCTGATTTATATATGTCATTATAACATGTCCTTTGGTTTCCATAGTCTAAGCTATAAGTTGATTATGGTTTTGTAATAAAAAAGTTTGTACAGTCAAGAGCACGTCAAATTTGACACTTTGTACTTTGGACCGTTCTTATCGTAACCGGCATAGAGTTGGATTTAAACCTTCAGTGTCAAGCTCGATGTGCTCTTGATGACCCTGTACTTACACTAGAAAATAAATTTTAATCAAAACTTCACAGAGTATCATCGGCTAACTCATTGCTAATGTTTTTGTAATTTTCTTAGTTTATAACAACGCTGCTATTATTAGATACACACTTTATAGGGGTATGTATACTTTGATCGTGTGGTCGGTTGGTAGTGGAAACTGATATGACGTTCAATGTCTATACTTTGACCACGATATCAGTTTCACCTGCTTGATTGCAACTGAAAAAATATTCTGAGTAGTTTCCAAACAAATCACATTATTTTTCAATAAGTTTTCATTTCTTTGCTTTGGAATAATTTACAAAAAAAAATTATAAATTGAACAACTTACTTATCTTATTAAACAATTTGCTGGGCGCTCCCTCACCGCGAACATTTGCCTGTATATTATTATATACCTACGTAATGTATGTTGTCGGTTAATACTGACCAAAAACATCAACGTTTAGGCAGCTGCAAAGTATTTTTATATATTTTTGGATGAACCCCTTTCACGGACTTTTTCTGCCGTCAAGCAGTAATGTCAGCATTACTGTGGTCCAGTTTTGAAGGGTAGGGGTGCTAGTGAAATTTCAGGCACATGGGACTTGTCAACTTATGTCTCAGGGTGACGGGCGCAGTGGCAGTGCCCCTCAGATCTTTCTGAATTAAAGCTCTGAGAGTCGTATT